TTTTAATTGCTTTTAATAATGGTAGGCATGCGGCAGCTATAAGCCACGACCTCTTTAATGTTGCCTTCACGTGCTCATCACAAACTCATACTTTCACCAAATAAAGTAGTTACCAGATAGTATGATCCAATTTTGTAATTTATTTCTTTAAAATAATTTAGTACTGTAAAAGTTTATGTATTTACTGTAAGTTTGCAGGGAAAATTCTTTTTTTTCTTTTAAATGCTAAATATAATCAACTAAAGGTTAGTCACCAGGCTAAATGGGTTATTATAATTTATTGTTACATATTATCGTATCGATATCGATATGAAAAGAAATTTCTATGATTTCTGGTTTTATTAAAGTGCGCATTTTCCTTGTGAAATGTAAATACGTGTTCCTAATTCCGGCAACCTTGAAAGCGGCACAAAAACCGCTGGTACGGCTGGGACTGTTACGGCTTGACAGTGAGTGCCCAAGCAAAAATCAGCAGCGGTGTCGTTTGAGGAAATTTCGGTTTGCAATGTAAGTCTATCCTATACCACACACTTTTATTTGTCAGTCAGATGTTGACGATTTCGCTTCCGTTTTTTTTTTCTGGTAATACTTCAAGACGCGGGCGCAAAAACAACGCCCAGAACTTTTGCTACTAGCCTGCAACAAGTGCTAGTGCCCGTCTTCGAGATGTGAGCTAGCTAAACTTAGCTTAGCCACAGCAGCAACGCTGCATTAAAGTTGTCTAACGTTGCTCACTCCTCATCATATCAACTTATCTTTGCTAGTTATGTAGGTAGTCAAGAAAGAGTGTACACAATCGGTTTGTATACAGGCCACAGCTGTTACTGTTACTGTTACATGAATCTTACTGTTAGACAACGATATGTGCTAGCGTTTTAGTCTATGCTTAGAAACTACCGTTTCCTGTGTCGTTGGCCTATCTACAAACTACTGCTGTATACTTTTATTTAACAATCTTAAAATGTTTGTGTATGTCCCTTTGTGATTTCTAATTATTGTAGCTCTAATTTGGATATGACTAAAATAATATCAAGACACAATCAAAGGCAACGCAAAGTTGTAAACAGGAAATATATTTATGGCCGAAGTGTTTCTGTTTTAATAGGTCGTAATCATGTTGATGACTGGGTAATTAAAATAAGTTTTAAACTATATCTAAGCTGAATATTTTCCACTCCAGTAATAACTTACACGCCGTTGTCGGTAATGCCGTTATCTAACGTTATTTCCATCCCATCAGCATCTACAGTTTTTTTTTCTTTGTTGACACCGTTAGGAACTGTACTCTGATATGTTTCTCGGTCAATATGTGTATTAGTAGCCGCTTTGAAGTTTAGGGGTAATGAAAGAACAAGGTAAAAGACGTGTTTCGTGAGTGTTTACTTTCTGGGAAGGTGTATTGCCTTACAGCATCGAGAGAGGAAACTTTTTTTTTTCCTTTTAAACTTATATATATATATATATACACACACACACACAGTGCACATAGAGGCACTGTACTCAGCGTTTTCGTAATGAATCACAGACAGATTTCTACAACTATTTTTGTCCATATTAAAAAATCCTTGACAGAGAATTTGCATGTCTTTCTGAAATTGAGTGATGATTTGATTAAACCATAAAAGTCATTCTTTCATGATGTTAAAGTCATTTCTGTTCATTGTAGTGATGGTAGTGGATCAGTAGTATAGATACCACAGTGATGATAATGTAAAATTAGGCCCCGGAATGTATGGATAGTAGATTTACAATAGATTTGAAATAAAATAAATCTATTAATGCGAGAGGGTTAACAAGAATATTCAATTAACCACGATCACAGTTTCTGGACTCAGTCCTTTATTTGAAGTGGTCCAAATGTAACTGGACAATTTACTCCAAAGTTGTTTTAAATTTGTCTCCATCACTTAATTAGCAGTAAGGTTGGTAGTTGATTGCTTGCAACTGTAGCCTTTGCATTTGGAAACTGTTGCTGTGAATCCATAACATATGGTCAAATGGAAACTTAATTCAAATGAAGCAATAAAGCAAAAATAAAATTTATCTGCAATTTTTGTTCAGTGAGTTAAATTGAGGCTGAAAGGCGGGACTTAAATTGCATCTTTTTATTTTAATGCAGTGGTGAGCCAGCTCTTCCTTGGTGCCTTTTGAGAACCATTGCACATTACAACAGAACTGAGAACTTGTAGCTAGGGCTGCCACAAACTATTATTTTGATAGTCGACTAGTCACCAATTATTTTTGCCATTAGTCAACTAATCAGATCATGCGTCCATTGGATGTAAAACGTACAGCTTATTGTACCAGCATGCATGTGCTCTTATATAACTATCATTAGCTTACAGCTTTAAATGTTTAAGGTATGTGCTAACTAAAAATAAAGACAAGATGATAGTTTATTAAATTTTAATGAAATTTACAGATTGTTTCGGTGGAGTTTAATAAACTCAGCCGCTATCTAAAATACTTAATTTCCCGGAGGAACCCACCC